CTCCAGTGGGTCCCGCTCTGGATGGCCCCCAACACCATCACCCTGCTCGGCCTCGCGATCAACCTGCTCACCACGCTCGTGCTCATCTCCTACTGCCCCACGGTCACCGAGGAGGTAGGGCTCGCCGCCCGCCTCTGGGCGGCTGCCGAGGGGAACCCCCAACTGCTTCCTCAGGAGCCCCTCATTCCCTGCCCGAGCCCGACTGGAGGAAGAGGGAGACCCCAGTGTGGCTGAGCCTCCGTAGGGCCCGCAGCTGACTCGAACCACGGAGTCAGCCCGAGCCTCCTGTGACCGCCGAGGCGTCCCCTAGCCCGGTGACCATCTATGCCTCGCTCTCAAGGTCAAGGCCCGGTCCCACGTCTGCCCAGGTCCCCCAGGGGCTGCGGAGAGCCCTAGACCCTCCTGCCTGGCCACCAGCCAACTGCACCAACCGGTGGCATGGACCCGCAGTCGGGTACTTTGCATACTGGGGACTGACCGCTCCTGTCTCCGACCTGCCTCGAGCATAGGCTTGAGGCCAGGTTGGCCAAACCTGAGATGCCCTCTGGACACTTGTATAATCGTCTGTTTCTCAAAGGCTGTGGTCAGGATCCTGAAACTACTGGTAGCACTGATCACAGATAAGTTTTAAGACAAAACTTCCTCTTCGCTTCATCGACTTTCATGAAGAACAAACTAGGGCCTCATCAAGGTGGCATTTCTTTTCATGCCGACCCAGGGATTATAAGTGCCAGCCGATTTTATTAGCGATATTGGTCTATGACCTATGTCCAAAATAAGAAGTCAATAGTACGGGTTTTGGACAACTTTAATCAGAAGCACCGGTTGGTCAGAGGGTGGCAGGGAAGGGGTGCAGTGTGGAACTCACTGCCACCTACAGCTCATTATAGCGCCTGGGATAAATATTACAGGGCACGTTCTGTGGAAAAAGTGCTTTCTTTTCTTTGCCCTCCAAATAGTGAGGTTCCCTTATAATCATGTTTGAGTATTGGTCTGGTGAGGACTCATGGGAGCTGAAGTTGGATAACAGACATACAGTAGAAGTGCTTCATGCCCACCATCCATGCATTCGTTGTTTTTTTTTTATTTGATGGAGTCTACATATTCAACTGTTTTGCCAATTGATATGTGTATTACATATTTCTTAGCTGACATTGCTGTTGTTACTCATTTCCTTTCTGTTTGAAAAAAGCTGCTTTAGTTTGTTCTGTGCTGCCTGTTGCTATAATTTCTCAGGAGCAATATGTTATTGTAGAGTCAAAAGATCTCTGGGCTGGAAGTGGAGGACCTGGTATTCTAACCTGGCTCTGCCAGAACAAACCTACTCAGTCTGTTTATATATGTCACAACTCAGGGACTCGAACCTAGTTCTTCTAGCTCCATCCTCATAGTATTCTCTAGCACACTCACTCCCGTTCACTTAGTTTTGATTGATGTACACAGTAACTCTGTTCTCTTTTATTGAGTTGATTGAATGTTGAATGTTTTAAAATTATTATTTAATTTTATTTATTGTTATTATTATTATTTTGTTTGCTATAGTACACATGCATTCACCAGAGAGAGGCAGAAAGAGAAAAAGAGCGAGAAGCAAAGTGAGAAAGCCAGCCACCAGGTCTGGAACTCAAACCGTAGTTGGCCATGTGGGAGTCCAGTGCTTTAACCACCACGCCACCTGCTGGCCCTGAATGTGGAATGTTTTTGCCTGCCTTCTTAATCTGTATATATAAATCCATGTCAGTGTCATAAAACATAAAGTATGTTGATAGCAGACAGATGCCTAGCTGATGGCCAGGTTAAAGGGCATTGACAAATACATTTATTTATGATGATAGAGTTGAAACAGAAAAATGAGTATACTTAAGAAAGCCAGAAAAGATCATAAGAAAAGGTTTTATTCCATGTTTAAAATAACTCAAATTGTAGTTCCCTTTGTACTAAATAGTAAAGAATTGTTTGTTAGGGGACTTTAATAGAAAGAAAAAGCAATAACCTATAGAGTCCTACTCATATATGTATATTTTACATACATATATATAGGTGTGGGTTTTTTGAGATTTTGTGTATTTTATCTTCCCCTTCCTTTTTTTTTTTTTTTTTTTTTTAAAGAGGTTTTTGCCTTAGGGCACTTGCACTTGCTGGGGAGAGAGACAGACAGACAGACACAGAAACAGTAAGAGGGAAAGTGAGAAATCCCCCATGGGCACCTTCCTTTTTTGAAAGCAGGTCAATAATTTATGAGGCATTATTTGTTCAGGCAGTTCCTCTGTAAGGGAGTAACTTCTATTAGAACAAAATATAAACACCACACTTCCATGAGATGAAAGTTCTAGAAGCAAGACAGGGACTAGGGAGAAGCCAGCCCAGGCCCAGGATTTCCAGGACTCTGATAGCAAATGCCTCCTAAATTCTGTAGCCTCTGTGCCTCTGTCCCTCACCTTAGCCCTGGCCATGTCTTGAAGGAACCTCTTCAGGTCTTGTGGAGGTAGCTTGTCCTTATGGTTTGCCTCTGATTCCTGTGACTTCACTAAAAGAACATGAGGACTGGGGCCCGCAGGTGGTGTGGTGCTTAAAGACGCTGAACTCCCACATGGCTGACTGCAGTTCAATGCTCGGACCTGGCAGCTTGCTTTCTTCACTTTCTCTCTCGCTGTCTCTCTCTGGTCAAATTAAAATAAATAATAATAATAAATAAAGTTAAATAAAATAATAATAATAAAAAAAAAGAATATGAGGACCAGCAGTTGGTGTAATGGCTATGTCGCTGGACTCCCATGTAGTCGACCGCAGTTCAAGTCCCAGACCTGGTGGTTTAAACTAACACCGGACAAGTGTGCATAGGTACCCAAGATCCCGAGAGGAGAATGGAGGAGAAGGGATTGCGGTGGGGTCATCCCCCCTGGGGGGAGGGGTGATTTCTCGCTTTCTGTCTGTCTTTCTTGTGAGCGCATGAGCCCTATAGCAAAAACCTCTCAAAACAAAACAAAACAAAACAAAACAAAACAAACAAACAAAAGAATACGTTGTCTCTCCTTTAAAATTCTGCTTCAAATATTTATAAGGCATGGTATATTGGTATATAGAAAGAACTTTAAGCCCCTTTCTTGGTGCATTTGATTGCGCCATACGGCTACCAACATTTGGGGACTGTGAAGTCAAAGATCAGGAAGTTGTTACAACACCAGAACAATTATATCAGTGATCGATTTGGTCTGGGTCAGGCCTCTTTTCCTGTTCTCCTTAGCACAGTGACAGCTGACATTTTCATCAAGAACTCTAGTGCTAAAGGAGGAAGAAAAGCCGGAACTAGTTCCACAAGATACGAACAGAAAGAGGCTCACCTTGCAAAGTGCACATTTCTTAAGTCCCAAGAAGGCTCCTTTAGCCGTGAAATGCTGGTTTAGCTATGTGGGTGCTGGATGTCTAGTTTTCTTCTTCCCAGCTTATTCTGTCCCCAGCCTAATTTCTTCAAAATAAGCGTGCTCTTCTCAAAGCTGGCCCCTAAGCTGAGCCGAAGCCAAAGATCCGAATTGAAACCAGTGAGCCGTAGGGCCTTCCTGACTAGCTTGACAGACAATGAGCTTGCCCTTCCTGACCACCAGTCTCCTCTGGGGCCAGTCCAGGCCTCAGATGGGAACCTTCTCTCTGAAACGAAGAAGGTCCTCCCACAGGCTCCCAGTAAACAGTATCTTGACCATAACACAGGCACATGTATGGGTCAGGGCAGTCACAGGAACAGGAGCGATCAGTCATTTCTAATTGTTATGTCTCTTAGAAAATGGATTCTCTTTTAAAAATCAAAGAATCACCCATCTGGGTATGAAGTTTACCTTCCACAGCATAGCATACCAGCATTATATTTCTCACATTTGCACAGTCTGTTTTCTGATTTCCTTTCTTCTTTCCTCTTAGAAATGTGGTTTTCTATTTTCATGGAGTCTATTGATATTTGGATTATTGGAATCTTCCTGTTACTATCTGACCTATATTTTTTAAGAATCATTTATTTCGTAATGGCTATGTTGCTGGACTCCCACGTAGTCGACTACGGTTTGATTCCCAGACCCGGTGGCTTAAACTCATGCCAGGTGCATGTGCATGTGTGCCCAAGATCCCGAGAGGAGAATAGAGGAGAAGGGATTGTGGCGTGGCCATTCCCCCTGAGGGGGTGATTTCTTGCTTTCTGTCTGTCTCTCTCTGTCTTTCCGGCGAGCGCACGTGCCCTATAGCAAAAAAACCTCTCAAAAAAAAATTATTTCTTTTATTTCATTTATTATGACTATTTTTAAATTTGACCAGACAGAGACAGAAAGAGAGAGAGAAGAAAAGCAAGAAAGCAAGCCACCAGGTCTGGGACTTGCACCGCAGTCAGCCAGGTGGGAATCAGCACCTCTAACCACTACACTACCTGCTGGCCCTCAAATTACTGTTTTTGTAATGTCTTTCTTTTAAGTTCTTTTTGTTGATGTTGCTTCTTATTGCCAGAGGGTGCATGCACTGGTCATCGGGAAAGTAAGTTCCCATAAAAACTAGAATTGAGTCCGGGTGGCTCTGTAGATTCTGAGTCCTTAGAAGTCTCTTCTGTAATTCCCTTTTTGGCAAGACTCCTGGAAGGACGGTGCTATGCTTAGCTATATGGAGTCCAACCTGTTTGCAGAGCGACAGATTAGGAAAGTTGAAAAAACAGGGACCAGCAGTTGGTAATAATGGCTGTGTCGCTGGACTCCCATGGAGTCGACCATGGTTCAAGGCCTGGACCCAGTGGCTTAAATTCACACTGGGCACGTATGTGTGCGCGTGCCCAGGATCCATCCTCCCCGGGAGGTGATTTCTCGCTTTCTGTCTCTCTCTGTCTTTCTGGCAAGTGCACATACCCTATAGCAAAAACCTCTCCAAAAAAAAAAAAAAAGAAAGAAAGAAAAAGAAAAGAAAAGAAAGAAAAGAAAAGTTGAAAAAACAAACTATTTAATAACTTCCAGTTGGGAATGGAGGTGGTGAACACAGGGAAAAGAGAAGATAGGTCTGGAGTTTGAGACCCTCAGAAGACTGGGAAAACTTGCAATGACTTTGGAAGACTTGGAAAAGGAGCAAACCAGGTATTGGCAGATCAGTGT